TGCTTTGTAAGTGTGCAATCACATAAGCTAGAAATGCAGAATCTTTGATCTACATAAGGACTAACAATTTGATGGAAGTTCAAATATGAACAATAGGAACATGTTATCATGGAAACAGATCTCATGATTGGCTTGTTTCTGTTCTTGTATGCCTCAGATAACTTGTGTGGAAGCTGTAGGCCACATTGGTAAAGAGCAGGAATTATTTTAAACCTAAAAGCTGTTTAAAGTTTTCAGACAGCGTATGTGGAGCTGGCTTGGGCTGCCAAATTTTACCTGCACGTCACCTGCCCCATTAACTACGAATGTTGTGTTTCATGACTGTATACAGTGCTGAGTTTTTGTCATTATGCAGGCTAGACATACAGAACAGTTTCAGTTTTTTGTGTCTCACATAGTTTGCCTGGAAGCCGTAGGCCACGTTGGTAAAAAGCGACATCTATAGGAAATAAACTGTTGAAGGTTTTCCCACAGCACAATTGAGTTAGGTTGGAGCTGCCAAGCTTTACTTGTGCACCTGACAGAGCTGGTCCTACTCCACCCTGTACAGGTGTGGCTGTATCAGTCCCCTTCCCTCCACCTACCTTGTTAATACTGTACTTTATTACTGAATACAGTTAGGTGTATTCTTACTGCTTTTACTAGCCAGTCTCATTCCTGGCTTTTCTCTCCCTGATTGTTTTACAAAAGATTTTTAAATTTAATTGATCGCTTTAAGTGGTCCCTTGGGTTTGAACCCAAAGTCCGTAGTAGAAATGTTTACCACATATGAACCAGCTTGCAGCCTTAGATCCTCAGGAGGGGTCCTTGTGGCTGTTCCAAAGACAAAGCTTAAGTCCTAATGGGCCATCAGGGTTCACAGAATTAGGAGTGCCTTTTAAATCACTTCTTAAAACTTATTATAGACCTGCTTTTATGTGATGTTGTCTGTTTATTGCTTGTATTATCTTACTATATCTGTTAAGGTTTACTTTTTGCATCTTTTGCCTATTTGTTTTACCTTAACCTTAATTTCGCCTTAATTTCGCCTCTCTTTGTTGGCCTTACTGTCTGGTTTACTGGTGTTATTTTGCCTTCAGAAAATCCTACTTTTGCTTTGTCTGTCAAAGCACTTTGTAAACCCTTGTTTTTAAGAGCACTGTATGAATACCGTTATTATTATTGTTCATATTACGTACAGATTTTTTATGCCATCTCATAGGTCAGAAAGACAGAAT